TATATATATATATATATATACATACTTGCCTCAGAATTTAAAGAAACTGAATCAAAAGTGAAGACAGAAATCTAATACAGATGTCAGAGTTACCTCAGATGACCAGATAAGATTAAGAACCCGGGGGGCCGGGATGTAGCTCAGCACCACAGCGCCTACCTGACAAGCTCAAGGTCCTGAGTTTGATCCCCAGTACCAAAGCAAAACAAAAGATGAAGAAACTGGACTGAGCTTGTTCAAGGCCTGGAGCTCCTTGAAGTACAGAACATGTCCGCAGCCCACCTATAGGCCACAGGCAGCTTCCCGTTGGCCCCGTCAAGCAGGGAGATCCAGCTGAGCTCGTGCTAGGGGTGGCCAACGTTCATGGCCTGTTGACCTGATGTGCTCCCCAGCGGTCTGATAAAATGATGGGTTGTGGTGAGTGCTTGTAATTCCAGGACTCAGGAGGCCGATGCAGTCTTTGTGCTGTGACAATGAACATTCAGTGATTTCAGATTAAAACTGCTTGGGCAGGTCTGGCCCAGCCAGGAGTAGGGAATGGAGGGCAGGAGAGGCAGCCCAGTTTGGGAAATTTCTGGCAGTTCTAATAAAAACTTGACTTGAGAACCTCTATTTTTAGCCAGAGATAAACTTCCCTTTTAAAATCATCCAAAAGCTGGTTGTGGTGGCACATCTGTCTAATCCTGGCCATTTGAGAGAGTCACAAGTCCAAGGCCAATCAGGGCAATTGGGAAAACCTTGTCACAAAATAAAATAAAATGGGCTGAGGATACAGTTCAGCAATAGACAGCTGTGGTGCAGTCCCCAGTTACAGCACACACACACACACACACACACACACACACACACACACACTCAAATGTCTTCTCACAGGGCGACGGTAGATATATCCAGAGCTTTCAAAGGCAGAGGAATTTGTGACACTATATTCATCCCCAAGTATTTTCTTCACTGACCAACAAGTGGTTTGAATTCTCATAATTATAATCACATTGTCTTCCAGTTAAGACTTTGCTTTCAGAAGTCTTTTCTTTAACTGTCCAAATGTAACACCAGACGAAGTGATGCATGCCTGTAATTCTAGCACTCAGGAAGCTGAGGCAGGAGGATCACTGAGAGTTCAAGGCCAGCCTGAAGTATGTAGTGAGATCCTGTCTCAACACCCCACCCCCGAATATATCCACATTTTACAGAGAAGGAAGAAAGTATATACCAGTGGTGGCGAACCCATGGCACGTGTCTCAGTAGGCTGTATCAGTGAAAGCTCTAAAAAGGTTCTCCCTCACTGGTGTCTACCATATTAGAATGGGTTCTTCTAATCATATCTGCTACATAATCACTGCTATGTAGTAAAAAACAAAAGCAAAACAGAAGGCCTGGGAGCATAGCTCAGTGGTTAAGTACTTGCGTAGCATGGGTGAGGACCGGGGTTTGATCTCCAGTAATGCAAGAAAGAGAAAAGAATGCCGGACGGTGAGAGAAAGAGTCATGGGGCAGGCGAGTTATGGCGGAGAGGGAACTGGCAAAGCACCACAACCTGCTCCTGGAGGGAGGCCCAGGGCCCAAGTCTCTAGCAAGCAGCCAAGGGGGCAGGTGAAGCTCAGCGCAAACTGTGACACAGGGGCACTGAGAGATGTTCCCAGGATTGGCTTTGATATGGTGGCATTTCCTTGGCAGGTAGCAGTTGAAGATTTTGAAGTGGTTTGTAAAGGTCTGTACCGGGCATTATGTATCCGGGAAAAATACATGCAGAAGTCATTTCAGAGGTTCCCCAAAACCCCCTCCAAGTACCTGCGCAACATTGATGGCCAAGCCTGGGTAGGAAATGAGAACTTCTATCCAGGTATCTTATTCCCTTATAAAATCTATAGAATATACCTTTTGGTTTAACAATGAAATAATAACTTTAAAACATGCCCCTAGATTATAACTAACATCAGTCATTTGGAGCTCCATTCTCCCTGCTGTACTCTGATTCCAAGCTGTACAGTGTCTCACTAAACTCCTCTTCACAACCCCTCAAACCCACGTTAGCCCTGTGTTTCTTCTTGTGTCAATTTATTGCGTTAACTTTCTACTGACTCTGCTACATTTCTGTATCACCCTCTTCGTTTCATCCCCACTTTGTGGCAGTTATTAAAAGGCAGATCTGAGTGCACCCTCTTCATGGCAAAAAACTTTAGCTGTTTCCCGTTATCTGCAAACTGAGTCTGGTTACACCCTGACGTGCAGGACCACCATCTGGCCTCCTAACTGCACGCTATTTGTTTTTCTTTGGATTCGCACACTCAGGTTATTTCCAAAGTAACCTCCCCGCTTGCCTTCTTCGCTGGGGTTGGAATTCGTTCCTGATCACATTATAGTTTGGTGCGTTCCTGCTCTCGTGCTGTTGTTAGGCTGTTCCCTGTCTCTGTCCTGAGAGTGCCCTTCTCCTAGCTGTTCACCCCGTGTTCCAGTGTCTAGATCCATCCTAATACTTCAAAGCACGGGCCAGACACTATCATTTCTTGTCTGCCTCTGACTTGTGCATAAAAGTAAACTGCAGGGCCAGGGATTTAGCTCAGTGGTTCCACTGCCTGCCTCGCAAGTGCAAGGACCTGAGTTCGATCCCTGGTACCAAAACAACAACAACAACAACAACAAACAAACAAACAAACAAACAAAAAACTTGTAAACTGCAAGCCGGGCCAGTGGTATATGTCTGTAATCCCAGCAGTGCAGGAGACTGAGGCAGAAGACTCACAAATTCAAGTCCCATCTGAACAATTTAGTGAGAACTTGTCTAAAAATAAAAACATAAAAAAGAGGCTGTGGATGTAGCTCAATAATAAAGTGCCCCTGGGTTTGATCCTACTAACGCGCATGCACACACACACACACGCGCGCGTGTGCGCGCACGCACACACACACACACTGTAACTACATGTGACTTATTTTCCACAACATTTTATTTACATACCTGTTTTTACTTTCTGCTTCGAATAATGTACGTTTTAATAGTCATATTTTAATGATTTCTATTGTATAGCCATCACAATTGATTCAATCAATCCCAGTTTTAGGTCTTCAAATTGTTTTAAAAACATTTCCAGGCTGGGGATTTAGCTCAGTGGCAACGCACCTGCTTTGCAAGTGCAAGGTCCTGAGTTTGATCCCCGGTACCACAAAACAACAACAACAACAACAACAACAAAAATGAAAAAGCATTTCCAACAAGGCTACAATAGAGCCAGGTGCTGTGGTGCACCCCTGTAATCCCAGAACTTGGGAAGTTGAGGCAGAAGGATTTCTGTGAGTTCAAGATCACCCTGGGCTACATAGTGAGTTCAAGACCAGCTTGAACTACATTGCAAAATCCTGACTCAAAAAACCCAACCAACCAATCAACCCCCCAAAACAAGGCTACGTTACAGCTTATGTACACTTCTTTATGAAATTGTCTTATATCTTCAGGATTATACTCCTAGAACTGAAATTTCTAAGGCTAATATTTTAGATTTTTGAACTTCCAACTTGTCATATTGGTAAAGGTCTCAGGTCCCACTACCTTCTCTCTGTAATTTCTTTTAATATTAAAATCATGCTAAACATGTCCACACACGCCTGTAATCCCAGCACTAGGGAGGCTGAAGCAGGAGGATCACTGCAAGTTGGAGGCCAGCCTGGGCTACATAGTGAGTTCAAGGCCAGCCTGAGCTACATGGCGAGACCCTGTCTCAAAAAAAAAAAAAGTGTCCAGTTCGGTGACTTATAAAATTAACTTACCCATCGTCTATAACATTGACAGGATGTCTGTCTTGCCCTTGTTTCCTCTAAATTATTCTTTTTCTAATATGTTTAAGTATAAGAACTAGAAAATTAATATGATACAACAGGGTATCGTACCCCTTCTTTCATGGTCCTTATTTCTCAATTTTGAGTAAGACATGTGCAAACTATTTTCTTTCTATGTTATTTTTCTCACTCCAGTGGCTTTAGGTACCACTTGCAAATAAAAGCGCTTCCTATGCCTTGAAAGCCAGCAACAGGGTAGTAAGGAGGCTCAATTGCGAGGTGAAAGGCTGGGGATGTAGGTCAGCAGTGAGCACTTGTCTAAAAATAAAAACAGAAAGGGGGACTGTGGATGTAGCACAAGGCACTGAGTTCAGGAGTGGGGGAGGGAGAGGGAGAAGGAGAGAGAGGGATGATATTTGCTAACATTAAGGCATGCATGCCGGACGTGGTGGTGCAACCCTGTAATCCCAGCCCTCGGGAGGCTGAGGCAGGAGGGTCACTGTGAGTTCGAGACCAGCCTGGGCTACATAGTGAGTTCCAGGTCAGTCTCAACTACATAGTGAGACCCTGTCTCAAAAAACAAAACAACAACAACAACAACAAAACAAACAGTAAGGAATGCAGGCTGCAAAGTCCTGACAGTGGGAGCTGTGTTCTTGACTTTTGTAGGCTGGAATTGTCAGTAGTGGAAATAAGGAAACATCACCCACTTAATCCGTTCTCAATTCCTTCAGCAGAAATTGTACGTGCTTCAAAAGATGGCAAATGTAATTATAATGAAATTATAATTCTTGACATACAGTTTTTATATCTGCCTTTGTATTAAAACCCTTACCGGTGGAGCACAGAGGATATTCAGGGACGTGAGTGAAGCTGTTCTGTATGTTGCTGTGGGGAGACCACACTGTCAGAACCCAGGATGCACAGAAGCCAGCACCGAACCCTAGTGTCAGTAACGGGCTTTGAATAATTATGATGAGTCAGTGCAGGTTCATGGATTTTAAGAAATACACCTGGGCTGGGGATGTAGCTCAGCGGCACCGCACCTGCCTGGCAGGCACGAGACTCTGAGTTCGAGTCCCAGTACCAAAGGAAAAAAAAGACTAAAAGACATAAGAAAGGCACCACTCTGATACAGGAAGCCAGTAGTGGAGTCTGCTATGTGTGTGAGGGCAAACATGGAAGTGGGACTTTCCACTTAGCCAGGGATTTAGCTCAGTGATTCTGCACCTGCCTGGCAAGAGCAAGTTCCCGAGTTCAACTCCCAGTACAAAAATAATAAATGAATACAGGAAAACTATGCTAGTCTGTTTAAGATGCAGCCATTTCCCTACGCATGACTCAGATTTGTCTTTCCTCATGGCTGGGTTGTAAACCACTGTGCATAATACCAATTTCTTTCTTTCTTTTTTTTAAATTAAAAACATTTACTGAGGCAGGGTCTCGCTGTGTAATGCCTTGAACTCACTATGTGGTATGTGGTACAGGCTGGCCTCAAACTCACAGTGATCCTCCCGCCTCAGCCTTAAGTGCTGGGACTACAGACATGTGCTACTACACCCAGTTGAATACCACATTTTCTTGCTCCAGTTGTCTGTTGATGGGCATACAGGCTGTTTCCAAGATCTAGCTTTTGTGGGTTGTGCTGCTATAAACGTGCATGGATCATGGTGACATGTCTACTTTAACTCGTTGGAGAGGATACCAGAAGAGGCATAACTGGGTCAAGTGTAATTTCTACTTTTAGTTTTTTGAAATAAATCAGACACAGAAAGACAAATATTGCATGACTTCTCATCTGAGAATCCAATGGTATAAATAAAGAGCAAAATAAAAGATGATGGCAAACAGGAAGGTAGACTTTGTGAAGATGGAAAAAGGGGATTAGGGATGGGGAGACAGAAAAGGGGAGAGAGGAAGAGTAGGTGAAAGGGACTAGGGCTGGGGATGCAGCTCATCAGTGGCAGCCTGCCTGGCAAGCACAAGATTCTGAGTTCGATTCTTGGTGCAAAAAAAAAAAAGATTAAAATGCTGTATGTATGTATAGATACCAATTCTCTACAATGAATGTATTCATTTATTGCAAAGAGGTGCTGATAAAAATAATAAGGACAAAATATAAATGAAATCCTAGCCCTGGGGAGGCTGAGGCAGGACATTCACCATAATTTTGAGATAGCCTGGGCTACACGGTGAGTTCAAGGCCATTGGAACTACACAGCGAGATTCTGTCTCAAAAAATAAAAAAGTGTTCAATCCCCAGTACCAAAAAAAAAAAAGAGAGAAACAAAAACAAAAAGTTCAACATCTGTTTAAAAAAACACTCTAAGACTAATGAAAAAAATTGGTTTAAATAAGGTAAAGATGCAAATTCTATTTTTTTTTCCTCATTGAGTTTATTGGCACATTTTAGGTATACAGTACAGTTCCATTCATCATTGGGACCTTGTACCTTTACATCACAGGTCTTGGTTCTCATTTTTTCCCCACACCCCTGCCTTCCCTTCCCCCCGCCTTCCCTATTTACAAAAATGTTGTTTCCATTTTTTTCTCATATTTTTTCTTTTCCCTTATATCCGTTCCCCTACCCTTCCCACTTCCCCTACACCTTTAGCCCTTTTCTTTGTGTAAATACTTATTAGTTCCTCTGGTATGAAAAACTAAAAGTGTAAATAAGATCCAAATGGTATAATTGACAATGTGAAATAGCAAATTCTATTTTTAACTAATTTTGCCTTTACTTAAAATTTTTTTTAATTACTATTTTTTCCAGTACTGGGAATTGAACTCAGGACCTTGTGCTTGCCAGGCAAGCACAGCACCACTGAGCTACGTCCTGGCCCCTATGTTTGCTTTTATGCAGTTGTTTGTTTCGACATGAGGTCCTGCTATATTTCCCAGGCCGGTCTTGAAGCCCTGGGCTCAAATGATCTTCCTATCTCAGCCTCCTAAGTATCTGAGAGGATAGGTGGGGGTCAGCACACACTCAGCTCTATGCAGTTATTTAATAGACTAATAAAATGCTCTAAAAAGCCTGGTGTAGCAGGGTGTGGTGGCACACACCTATAATCCCAGCACTCAGGAGGCTGGAGCAGGATCATCGACACAAGATTGAGACCAGCCTGGGCTACATAGTGAATTCAAGGCCAGTCTGAGCTACATAGCAAGACCCTGCCTAAACAAACAAACAAAAAAAAAGCTTGGTGCAGTGGTGCACGCCTGTAATCCCAGCATTTTGGGAGGGTGAGGCAGGAGGGTCACAAATTCAAGTCCTGCCTGAAAGCTTGATGAGACCATCTCAAATAAAAAGAGGCTGAGGATTTAGCTCAGGGTCAAAACACCCTTGAGTTTGATCCCCAGCAACAACCCCCCCCACACACACACACTGACTGCTCTTAAAAAGCATGGGATAACCAACTTCAGTAAAAAATTAAAAAATATGTGTAAGTGGTATATCAATTAGTTCATGTAAATAGTACATGAAAATAATTTGCAAAGCATTCTTTTTTTTTCCTCCCAGTACAAGGGATTGAACTCAGGACCTTGTGGTTACCAGGCAGGTGCAGCGCCACTGAGCTAAATCCCCAGCTGCAAATCATTCTTATACTAGACAGAATATGACCAGTTTTGCTTTGTTTTTTGCTGTTTTGAGATAGGGTCTCATTATGTACTCCATGCTGGCCTCAAACTCTCCACCCTTCTGCCTTGGCCTCCAAAGTACAGAGATTACAGGTGTGTGCCACCACAGCTAGCTTAAAATATTATTGCTACGGTTGTTTTTATTTATTTGTTTTTTGAGACAGGGTCTCACTATGTAGTTGACACTGACCTGGAACTCACTACGTAGCCCAGGTGGGTCTCGAACTCACAGCGATACTCCTGCCTCAGCCTCCCGAGTGCTGGGATTACAGGAGTGTGCCACCACGCTCAGCTTGCTACAGTTATTTTATACTCTGAATTTAGTCACCTATGAAAAATTAATATGAAATAAAGTTCACTTAATAGATAAAATAAAGTTGTGTAATCACAACTTATGAAGTATAAAATGCCAAGCGAATGAGCTTTTGCAGTATTTCATATTTTAGTTATTTTTACACGGCCATTCATCTTATGTGCTGATATATTACTGTGTTTTGTTGAAAAAGTCTTTACCCCTCCTCCGAAGAAGGGAGAAGACCCCTTCAGAGCAGATAACCTTCCTGAAAACCTGGGCCATCACCTCCAGATGAAGGACGGTGTAGTTCACATCTATCCTAGTGAAGCAGCCGCCAGCAAGGATGAGCCCAAGCCATACCCGTACCCAAATCTGGACGCCTTCTTAGACGATATGAATTTTTTGCTCACTTTAATTGCCCAAGGACCTGTGTAAGTGTTTCATGAGCTAAACCACAAGCAGTGCTACTACTGTAGTAAGAATAAGTATGAAGTGCTCACTGTGTTCACATACTATACTACACCCTTCATGTGTACATTGTTTCTGTTACTTTTTACAGTTGCCCTATGAGGTATTTTCACAATTACAACTTTATGAGATGCACCTTTGGCAAGTTCAGTAACTTGTGCGAAGTCACATAGCCGGTTAGACCAGGATTCAAGCTCAACTCTGCTGACTCAAACCGGGGCCCTTAACTTTGAATCATGCTGTCTCCACTGATTTTTTAAAAATTCCATCCCAAGCCCTTCTCACTATTATATCCAACTTTGATGAAAAATTAGAACTCAGTGCTTTCGGTGAGATTAACTGCAGAAGTACCTGAAACATTTGTTCTAATAATTGTTTCCTATGGGGGCTAAGGGTCCTGATGGTTTTGCAATTACATTCTTTTTCCTTGAGTGTGTGTAATTTTTTAGAGATCTTTTTTTTTTTTTTTTTTTTTTTTTTTTTTTTTTATCTCGCTGTGTAGTTGGGACTGACCTGGAACTCACTATGTAGCCCAGGCTGGTCTCAAACTCACAGTGATGGTCCTGCCTCAGCCTCCCGAGTGCTGGGATTACAGGTGTGTACCACCACGTCTGGCAAGTTTTTTAGAATTATGTCATTTTAAGGGGCCAGGGATTTAGCTCAGTGGCACCATGCCTGCCTTGTAAGCACAAGGTCCTGAGTTCAATCCCCAGTACTGTAAAATGAAAAAAAAAAAAAACAAGATGTCATTTTATTTTTCACAGAAAGACCTACACTCACCGGCGCCTGAAGTTCCTCTCCTCCAAGTTTCAGGTCCATGAGATGCTCAATGAGATGGATGAGCTAAAGGAGCTGAAGAACAACCCCCATCGAGATTTTTACAACTGCAGAAAGGTAAATGTTTTTCACATCTCAGAGGCAATTTCTCATCAAAAACATTAATCCAGTGATTTTTTTGAGAAAGACAAGCACAGTGCCTTCTGATTAATCCAAAATCTCTGCAGGTTTGGTGGATAGCTGAAAGATTAAAAATGTCACTTTTATTGTTTAGCCCAGGGAAAGATTTTATCATATTCTAGACATAAAAAATTATAATTATCAGGCTTGGTGGTAGCTCAGTGCAGAGTGTTCTCCTAGTATATGCAAAGCCCTGAGTTGAATCTCTAGCACTTCCAAAAGTTTTTTAATTACCATCAACAACAAAAATAAGAAAAATAAAACCTCTAGAATGACTATTCTAGGAGTTAGAAGACCTTTGTTCTAGTTTTTATTTTTTCCTTCCTACTGGGAATTGAACTCAGGACCTTGCACTTGCCAGGCAGGCATGGTACCACTGAGCTGAATCCCTGGTCCTCCTTCTTCTTCTTGACTATAAAATCTCAGGGTAGGTAATTAAATACCTTTGAGTTCCAGCATCCTCACTTGTAAAATTGGGAAATATTTCTGCTCAATACTGTTTACACGAAGATAATAAATACCAAATAAGCTAATGACTATGAAAACCAGTCAACTAGAAACACTTGGAATATACACACTTGTGACATACACATGTACCGGAGAAGTAAGCATTGTCATTGTGTCTAGCCATTCTCATTTGTTTTGTTTTGGGACCGGAGATTGAACACAGGGCCTTGCACTTGCGAGGCAGGTGGCGGCATCGTTTGAGCTAAATCCTGGGGCCCACCATTCAGTCTTGCACAGACAAGCACCTAAAGGGTACTCATCTACCCGGGCTGTCATTTACTCCTTTCTCCCACCGCAGTGGGATTTGCAGACACATGATCTCTAACAGAGTCGTTTAACGGAGGCTAATTGCTGGGTTTTCTTTCTCTGAATGTGCGCACAGGTGGACACCCATATCCACGCAGCAGCTTGTATGAACCAGAAACATCTGCTGCGCTTTATTAAGAAATCATACTACATCGATGCTGACAGAGTGGTCTGTAGCACCAAAGAGAAGAATCTGACCTTAAAGGAACTTTTTGATAAATTGAAAATGCACCCATATGACCTGACTGTTGACTCTCTGGATGTGCACGCTGTAGGTTGAAAAACTGTCCGTTTCATGCTAATACTTAGTGCGGCCATGTCTTTCCCCTGCGAGCCCTGACTTCTCAAAGGCCTCTTGACTGCGCTGGCTGGACAGACCCCAGACAGTGTGGGGGCTCACTCGCTGTCACCTGTCCCGATTTCATCCTCGGAGCCCAGCCTGTCCCCAGCGGGCTGCTCTTTTTTTTTCGTTTTCTTATGTTTTCCGGTACCAGGGATAGAACTCTGGTCCTTGTGCTTGAGAGGCAGGTGGTGGTGGCACCACTGAGCTAAACCCCCGGCCCTACAGCGGCCTGTTCTGCTCAGCTCGCGCGGTGTCCAGGCAGCTCTGACAGCGACATCCTTCTACTGCTGTTTCCTGATTCAGGGACGTCAGACATTCCAGCGTTTTGATAAATTCAATGACAAATACAATCCTGTGGGAGCGAGCGAGCTACGGGACCTCTACCTGAAGACAGACAATGACATTCATGGAGAATATTTTGCCACTATAATCAAGGTGAGGACAACAGACCCGATCTGCAGCGCCTCGAATGGGTCTTGAGTAGGAGAGGAAGGAGGGAAGAAAGGAAAGGAAGGGTTGGGAGGAGAATGAGAGAAGGGAAAGGGAGAGAAGGTACAGTGCTATCTCTGGGGCCACGCACTACGCAAATTAAGATAAGATTTTCTTCTGAGCAGGGCGTGGCTGGCGCCTCCCTATAGGGAAATCTTGACTTCCGGGCTAGCCTGGTCCACTTAGTGGGACCCTGTCTACATATAAAACGGCTGAGGATGTAGCTCCGTAAAGGCCCTGAGTTCAATCCCCAATCTAAAAACAAAAACAAAAAATGAAACAAAACAAAAACCTCTGGCCCTAAGGTAGAGAAATTAAGGGTGGGGATTTGGGATAAGATCTGGCCTTTGTAGGCACCGGAAGCTGTAAAGTGAGGGAGGAAGAACTAGGATGTGAATCCACACTCATTTTCCCAATGCCTGTGCAGATAGAATGTGGGACTGGGACATCTCTGTTTTGAGAGGTAGGGAAATATGAAAAACTGCGTCTTCTCTGTGGGCATCTTAGATATTTTAACTTCGTTAGTCTTTGGGTTTTTTTGTTGTTTTTTGTTTTTTGCATTGCATGTCTCAGCAGATGCCATGTCTTCTCTTGTTTTGTTTGTTGAGAAAGGGTGTTGCTATGCATTTCAGCCTGGCCTTGAACTCACTGTATAGTCCAGGTTGACCTCAAACTCATGGCAATCCTCCTGTCTCAGCCTCTGGAGTGCTGGGATTACAGGTGTGCACCACCATGACTGGCTTACTCTGATTTTTGTTTTCAGATCTCCATCATGTTCAGTGAATCATTTATCCTCTCTGGCTTCTCCTCAACTCTCAGCCTTAGATCTTTTTTCTTTTTTTGAGACAGGGTCTTGCTATGTGATTCAGACTGACCTTGAATTCACTATGTAGGCCAGTGAGACCTGGAACTTGCGGCAATCCTCCTGCCTCAGCCTCCTCAATGCTGGGATTACAGGCGAGCCCCACCATTCATAGGGAATCCCTTAGATCTTAACCTTTGATATTTTACCTTCCACTTTCTTTAACAGTTCTTCCTTTCCCTCAGTTCTTTGTTTGTTTGTTTCCAGAACCAGGGATCGAACTCAGGATCTTGCGCTTGCCAGGCAGGCTTTTCACCACTGAGCTACATCCCTGCACCCCCTCACTTTTTAATATGCACCCCCTCTTCCTAGACCTCGTAGGGTTAGGCCCCTCAGGCACCTGTGGAATTCCTGGCTTTGGATTGCTCTCTTGGCTTTGCAGGAGGTAGGAGCAGACCTGGTGGATGCCAAGTACCAGCATGCAGAGCCCCGCCTGTCCATCTATGGGCGCAGTCCCGATGAGTGGAGCAAGCTCGCCTCCTGGTTCGTCCACAACCACATCTACTGCCCCAATATGACGTGGATGATCCAGGTCCCGAGGATCTAGTGAGTACCTGCCCCTGGGGAACCTGACGCCTGCCCTCGCTCTGCCCACCTCTCCCCTCTAGGCAGGAAGTAGCTTTGTCGAAGCAGCACTCAGTCCTGGGGCCTGCGTGCTTGGTTTTGTCCAGTCTGGGCACAGTACGCCACACAGGCAGGAGTTAGAAAGATTGCTTCGGTGCCTTCTTTTAACCAGAAGCGAAAGAAAAACAAAGCCAGAGTAAGAACTATGCACATTTTAGGAGACACTTTTTTCTCTGGGTTTTTCTCTGTGTCTAGTTCATTCTTTCCCACGTTCGCCTGCGCTGGAATGTACCTTTCTTGTTCAGAACGTTTTTACCACGGTCTGTAGCAGATCTTTTTACCCACAGGTGCTCAGTTCTCCATACTCAAAGGGTATTTATCTCTCTTTTTTGCTGTTTTTTGTTTTTGGAGATAAGGTCTCGCTGTGTAGTCCACGCTGGCCTCGAACTCATGGCGATTCTCCTGCCTCAGCCTCCCTTCTTACCACAGATACTTAGAAATATGCGCCACCACGCCCAGCATGCATTGTTCTTTCATAACGCATAGTATCACTGCCTTCAGTGATGGCTTCTGTTTGTTCACTCATTGATCTTTTATCGCACATGTTCATACATTCTCTGGCAACCTGCCTGTGTGCCCTGTAGCAATGCAGGAGTTTTATCCCCTCTCTTGGGCTAAAAAAAAAAAAAAGTAACTTTAGGCTAAAAAAGTAACTTTTTGACTGGAGTAGTACTTTCTGTCTACTACCATGAAAGCAGAGCGTCAGTACAGTTGGTGGTCAGGAATATGGGCTGTGGATTCAGACTGTGCTTGAATCCTGGCTCTAACACTGTTGTGTAATACTGGGTAAGTTATAGTCTCTCTCTCTGTGCCTTAGTTTTATCATCTCTGAAAAGAGATACAAATGGCACCTAACTTACTGAGTCATTATGAGGACACTTAGCCAAGTGGCTGGTATATATAAAATGTTGTATGTAGTTTCTTGTTACCACAGATCAGAAGTACTCTTTTTTTGAGGGATGGTGGTGTTTGAAACGGAGTCTCATTATATAGTTCAGGCTGGTTTTGAACTCACTATGTAGTCCAGGCTGACCTTGAACTTGTGGTGATCCTTTTGCCTCAGCCTCCCCAGCAGCTGCTGGGGTCACAGGCAAGGGCCACCACACCTGACTGATAGGCTGTTCTTTTTTGTTTGTTACTTTGTTTGTTTCAGACAGGGTCTCGCTTTGTAGTGCAGGCTGGCCTTAAACTTACTATTAGTCTAGGCTGGCCTCAAATTTGCGGGGATTCTCCTGCCTCAGCCTCCCAAGTGCTGGGATTACAGGCATGTGCTCAATCAGAGGTGTTCTTAGTAACCATTTCATGTTCACCTTGTTGTATACCACACACATAGATAAATCACTGAACTTCTTAAGACACATTGCTCTACTTTTTTTTTTTTTTGGTTTTTTGAGACAGGGTGTCACTATGTAGCCCAGGCTGGTCTCGAACTCACAGCGATCCTCCTGCCTCAGCCTCCCGAGTTCTGGGATTACAGGCGTGTGCCACCACACCTGCGCAGCTCTATTCTTCTTCATTCTCTATCTGGATTTAACTATGAAGATTTGTTTTTCTTACCACAGAGGGCTTTTTAAGGTGGGGGTGCACATGATCCAGAAGGAAATTTTTGCTTCCTGCCCAGGGAAAGCAAAGCCGTCTTTGTGGGTAAGCGGGAAGAATATACGAAAGAGAACAAGCAACACACCAGGCCTTAACTGCTTTATTTACTTATTTAGGTGCCAGGGTTGAGCCCAGGGCCTCCTGATAGCGAGGCCAGCTCTCTACCACAGAGCTCCACCCCTGGCCCCTTAGCAGGCCTTTATTCCCGTCCATGGCACTCGGTCCTCTAGTTTCCTCATACTGGAGCTATCAGTCCTAAAAATCTTTTCTTCCTAAATGTGTCTTCATTCTTGCCTCTAGTGATGTGTTCCGATCCAAGAACTTCCTTCCACACTTTGGAAAAATGCTGGAGAATATTTTCGTGCCAGTGTTTGAGGCCACCGTCAACCCCCAGGCTCACCCAGAACTCAGTATCTTCCTCAAGCATGTAAGCAGGGCCTTGAGGCCTCGGGAGTGCTGCTCCCGAGTAGTCTCCTGCCTGGCCATGACTAATTCTGGCCACTTATCTCTTTCCATTGGGTCCTTGCTTGAGAGCTGGAAGTTTGTCTGAGGGCAAAACCCCTGTAGTTAGGCTGACACCACCGCCTGGCTTGTTTTCTCGACAGATCACTGGCTTTGACAGCGTAGATGATGAATCCAAACACAGCGGTCACATGTTTTCCTCCAAGAGTCCCAAGCCCCAGGAGTGGACAGTGGAAAACAATCCATCTTACACTTACTATGCCTACTACATGTACGCAAACATCGTGGTGCTCAACTGCCTGAGGAGGTGAGCACGAGAGGCTGGGGCCGAGGGCGTCTCACAGCCAGGCATGAGGCACTCAGAGGCCCCTGAGTTCTCTCAGGATGCTTTCAGCCGGCCCACATCGGAAATTGCTCTTAAATGTTTCCTTCAGATCCTTAGGGGCAGCAATAGGCATTTTTGGTGCCTTCCATAACTTTCACAGTTCCTTTTCATTGGCAATTTAGAAATGTACACTTATCGCTGTGCAATTTGTTATAAAACTCCATATTTTTTTTTACTCTTCTTGGTGTCTCTGGGGTACAAAATAGAGGAATAGTCAGTTTTTGTTGTTGTTGTTTTTGTTTTGTGTTGCTTTTGGTACCGGGGATCGAACCTAGGACCTTGCGCTTGCCAGGCAGGTGCAACACCTCTGAGCTACATCCCCTGCCCCAAGAGTAGAGGAATATTAGAGGTGTGTGTGTGTGTGCGTGTGTGTGTGTGTGTGTGTGTGTGTGTGTGTTGCTGGGGATTGAAGCCAGGGCCTCACACTTGCTAAACACAGTCTCTACCACTGAGCTATACCCCTCAACTTCCAATAGATTTTCTTGAAACCATTTCTCCCTCAAAATGTGAGCAGGGAAAATTCTGAAATGGTGATACTGGTAGATTTCCTTTGAGACTGAAGATGTTTCTGTTCAGATAATTAACTTTTTTTTTTTTCAGTATCAGGGATCAAACTGAGGACCTTGCACTTGCTGGGCAGTCACAGCACCACTGAGCTAAATTCCCGCTCCTCAGATAATTAACTCTTGATTGCTTCCTCAACCTTATATCCTCTGCCATCTCCTCTTAAAAGTTGATCTTTAGGACAAATTGAGATGATAAGGGATGGCTGCTCCCTTGCAGAGCATTAACTTTTTCTAATGAATTTTCTTTCTTTTTAAAAAATTAGTACACATTTGTAATGCATAATAATTACATTCACTTTGAGGATTCAGTATATGTGTATAGCACACCTTCATTCTTTGTACTTTTGTTTTGTCTGTTTTTGATACCGGGGATTGAACTTGGGTCCTTGTGCTTACAAGGCAGGCAGTGGAACCACTGAGCTAAATCTCCAGCCCTAGTACACCTTAATTCTTTTTGTATCCCCTTTTCCTTCTCCCCACCCCTTGAATTTTATTTTTTAATTGAGTTTATTGGTACATTTTAGGGATACAGTACAGTTACATTCATTATTGGGATCTTGTACCTTTACATGACAGGTCTTGGTTCTCATTTTTTCCCCTTGTCCCTGCCCTCCCTTCACCCACTCCTCCCCTCCCCATTTACAAACACTTTATTTCCATTTTTTCATTTTCTCATATTTTTCCCCATGAATTTTCTTGTCACCCATTCTGCCTGGCAACTATGATTCTTATAGTGATTTCTTTTGTGTAGGGAACGAGGCATGAATACATTTCTATTCCGACCTCACTGTGGGGAAGCTGGAGCTCTCACCCACCTCATGATAGCGTTCATGATAGCAGATAATATTTCTCATGGGCTGAATTTGAAAAAGGTGAGTTAAAGTTCTCTTTTTTTTTGAGACAGGGTCTTGCTCTGTAGGTCAGGTTAGCCTTGAACTTACTATGTAGCCCAGGCTGGCCTCAAACTCCTGTTGACCCTCCTGCCTCAGCCTTCAGAGCGCTGGATTTACAGGTGTGCACCACCACAGTTCTTTTTAATGTTAACTTTTATATTGGAGGGAAAGGTATCTTTCTGTTTTCCTTATGGTACTGTCACAAGACATCAACACTGGAATCAAATTCAAATGGAACATAAAAGATTTTTGAAACTAGTATGATTCATTCTACAGACAAAATGAAAGGGACTTGCTCAAGATTTCCTGACTAGTTGCTCTCAGATATGAGTTAATGCAGATCTCCTGATGTCCCAGTTTAGAACTCTGACAAGGGATAATTCAGAGGAGGCTTGGCTGACCTGAAGCTAGATTTTGCCAGATTTCTTGTTATAGCATGCTTTAAAAATGTCTCTCGTGAGTCAGAATTTTCATGTGGAAAAAAACCTAGGTTTCAGGGTGAAGTCTTTCCAGCTTTAATTGCCTGAATTAGGTCATCGAGGCAGGTGGTGGCACTACTGAGCTAAATCCTTGGCCCCCATGACACAGGTCGTTGAATCTATACAGTTGATGCTTTGATTCGGTGCTTCTGAAAATGGATGGCCCCAATGCATTTATTTTGTTTTCGTTTTTGGTACGGGGGATTGAACTCGGGTCCTTGCCCTTGTGAGGCAGGCAGAGGAACCACGGAGCTAAATCCCCGGCCCCCCAGTGCATTTATTGTAAATAGTATTTATATTGAAAAACTACAATTTTTCTTTAACAGGAGATTTAAAGAATAGGTGATATTTTTATTGAAAACGAAGGTAGACTGTGAGATTAAGGGTTTGTAGTTTTTATCCCCTTCACCACCCCTAATTTTCTTTCTTTTTTTTACTGTTTTTCAGAGTCCTGTGTTACAGTACTTGTACTTCTTAGCTCAGATCCCCATTGCCATGTCACCACTGAGTAACAACAGCCTATTTCTCGAGTATGCAAAAAATCCATTTTTAGATTTCCTCCAGAAAGGGCTGATGGTCTCACTGTCTACTGATGACCCCATGCAGTTCCACTTCACCAAGGTAACATACATACAAGTGTATTTTGCTTGACCATTGTTGCTTCCCACCCAGAATCGCAAAGCCAAATCAAGGAACTTCATTTTTCCTCCGTGTAAGATGCACATCTATTCTTTATTAATACAGTCTTTTCTTTCCATGTTGCCTCGTTTCAAATAAATAACGGCAGGAGCCCCTGATGGAGGAGTATGCCATTGCTGCACAAGTCTTCAAACTGAGCACCTGTGACATGTGTGAAGTGGCAAGGAACAGCGTCCTGCAGTGTGGGATGGCTCATGAGGTAGGGCTGTCACTGGCCACCCTTGGGAGCACAGGGTGACTTGAATATCGAAGCATTACAGGAACTGAGGAAACCCAGGTAGAAAAAGTGTGCCACAAATTACAGACAGGGGCTAGAAATGATTATGCTGTCATTTCTCTGGCCATCCCTTTGGGGAAAGGAAATAAAGTAGTCTTCATTTCTCAGTAGACTATGTCTGCTGAGGCACAAAGCAAGAACTTGAGAAGGCCGGGGATTTAGCTCAGTGGTTCTGCCACCTGCCTCATAAGTGCAAGGTTCCAAGTTCATTCCCCGGTTCACACACACACACACACACACGCGTGCGCGTGCGCGCAGTAAGAATTTGAGAGTGCATTAAAATGTTTTTTTCCCTTTTGCCTGTGGCAAAAATTGCCGAAGAAGGAATTTTTGTGGAATGTTTAATTATTGTCTGCATCAGGGTGAAAAGAAACAGCAATCATTCTGCTTTCTTTTCTCTCACAGGAGAAAGCAAAGTTTCTGGGTGAGAATTACCTCGAGGAAGGCCCTGTTGGGAATGACATCCGGAGGACCAATGTAGCCCAGATACGCATGGCCTATCGTTATGAAACCTGGTGTTATGAACTCAATTTAATTGCTGAAGGTCTTAAATCAGCAGAATAAAACAAATAAGCCAAATGATAATGTGAGTGGGATTTTCACTGTAGACTTTGAAAAAAAGTATCAGTTATTGAGTACCTACTATAAGGTACTCAATTCTTTAATATAAGGAAATGATTATATTAGATGTTCCACTGATATTATTTAATTAAATACTTTACACACTCTATTTTTTCCCAACTTTTAAATAAGATATTCTCTCTATTTGGGAAAACGTGAGTAAACTGAAGCTAGTACAGGATACAACCGGTGAAGGGCAGCAGTAAGATCCTAGGTCTGTCTGACGACCGAGTTTCCATGATTTCCAGGCAAAACAGGTATTAAGGCTAGACAAAAACACAAGCAAAGGACTTCACCTTGGGAGAATATTGGTTCTGGCTTATATAATTAAACTTGGGTAAGGCATTTAGAGCCACTAAAAAGGTCGTTTGACAATGTTCAAGTGCATAATGGTTTTCTCAGACAAAACCAAAGCAGGTGCAAGTCCCTGTGATGAATGTTATCATAATGTATATCTAAAATGTACCAATAAAATATGTTAAACCCTCTCCCCCAATCAACAGATATACCCAAATATAGAAAATCAGTATTTATGTATTATTATACTAGGGGATAATTAATTATCTTACAAGAAGACTTTTAGTATGCCTATGTAAGACATACTTGTAACTTTTTAGATTTGCCTGTTATTCAAGGTCAGGTGGAATTCCAATTAGCCCCATTATACTTCTACACATAAGACTGTGTTGCCACCTAGTGGCTGGGCTGATATTTCTTTCAATTTATTTATCGTTTTCTTAGTTTCAATTGCATTGATTTCTGCTCGAATGTTTATAATTTCCTCTCTTGTTCAAGCCTTGGGTTTTTCTTGCTCTTGTTTTTCTAGGAGTCTAAGTTTCGTCATTAAGTTGTTTATTTGAGCCCACTCTGTTTTCCTCGTGTGGGCATTCAATTTTATGAATTTTTCACGTAGAACTGCTTTCATTGTGTCCCATAGATTCCTGTATGTTGTATTGGCATTTTCATTTATTTGTAAAAACTGTCTCATTTCTTCTTTAATTTCCTCTGTAATCCATTGATTGTTCAGGAGAGTTTCCATGGGCTTGTGAAGTTCCTGCAGTTTCTTGTGCTATTGATCTCCAGCTTGATTGCACTATGATCTGATAATATACAGGGGATGACTTCAATTCTTTTGCTTTTATTCAGACCTGTTCTGTGAGCCATATGTGGTCTATCTTGGAAAATGATCCGTGTGCAGCCGAAAAGAATGTATATTCTGATTTTGTGGGGTGGAATACTCTGTAAACATCTATTAAGTCCATGTGTTCCAAAGCTTGGTTCAGTTCTATTATTATCATTGTTGATTTTCTGCCTAGATGATCAATTTATTCAATTAGCAATTATGTGTCAAACATCTAAAGCAGTGGTGGCAAACCAGAGCCCTGTCAGCACGTGAGCCAAGTGCATGAGTTGTTTTTTCTCAACTAAAACCTCAGTATTCAGATTTAATTGCAGTTTTGGCCCTTTGGCTTTGGCTTGCACTTCAGACACTTGTCTCTTAAAGGTTCACCATCACTGACCTAAAGTATCGAGTATAATCCTAGACATCAAAGAGTAAGATTTTGTTTCCTACCCTCAAGTTGTTCACAGCAAAAAGTTAGAAAGTGTGTGGATACAACTGTGAAAAAGGGAATTTTGCAAAACAGCTCAGAAATGATGGTCCATGTGGGGGAAAAAAAAGACCTGAAGCACATTCCTGCATGTTTCCACCTTAGTTAGTCATAGGCATAGGTGTGACCCTGTTGGCGTGTTTGTACTGGCCCTGCTGTAAGACTCCTCTTCCTGGTTTCTCAAGTTGAAGTACTGTTTGAATCTGATTTTATTTTACTTTGGCCTCTTGGTCATCAAAATAACACAAACTGCTAAATGAAACACTACTCTCAAATTTAAAAGGAAGTTAAATACCACTATGTACATCTGCCTCTTACCCATGAGAGGGCAGTAGAATATATAAATATGAATTAATTTATTATACTCAACCCATGACAGATTCGGTTTTACATTTGACACCTGGAATTCAGTTTACCTCATTTTGCCACGTAATCTTCCTGAATTCATATGATAAATTTCAAGCCAGGCATGGTGGTGCACACCTGCAATACCAGCACTTAGGAGGCTGAGGCAGGAGGACTGCTGCGAGTTTGAGGCCAGCCTGAGCTTACATAGCGAGTTCAAGGTAAGTGTGAACTACAAAGGGAGATCCTGTCCCCCAAACACCAATACATTTTTTTTTCAAAACCTCACTCTTTTAACCCAACATTTCATCCTGGATAATTGAGAAACCCTTTTTTATTTGCTTGTTTGTTTGTTTTGAGACAGGATCTTGCTATGTAGTTCAGGATGGCTTTGAGCTCGCTTTGATCCTCCTGTCTGAGTGCTTAGATTACAGGCATGCACCACCATGCCCAGCTGAAACTTTCTAAATATACTAGATAAGGAGGTGTGGGAGTTCATAAAGATCAGTGTTCTACCCTTCTAAAATGTTGGTGGGAATATAAGTAGTACAGCCACTATGGAACTCAGTGTGGTGATTCCTTTAAAAACTAAAAATAGAACTCCATTGTACCCAGCTATACCTCTCTGGCCCTTCTGGGTATCTTTTCCCAAAGAATTAAAGACATTATACCACAGTGATACATACATGCCTGTTTTTATAGCAGCACAACTCACAAAAGTGAAGTCTTGGAAATGGCCTATCTATCCACCAACAAACGGATGGACAAAGGAAATGTGGCATATATAAAGGATAAATTCAAGTCATTTGTAGGAAGGACCAAAAGGCGTGGGGGCACCCTGAGATCATAATGCTGAGTGAAATAAATCAGACCCTGGTTCAATACTGCATGGCTTCTCTTACGTGAGAAATCCAAAGTATAAATAACTTAGCAAAATAAAAGGCAGATGCTAGAAACAGGGAGATAGATCTTTTGCAAATGGGAAGAGGATCTAAGGAGGGAGGAAGAGGGGGAAGGAGAGGTGAGGAAGGGAAAGTAAAAAAGATCAAGACGCAACGTGTGTACCAACTCCCCAATGAATGTATTACAAATCACAAACGTACTTCATGAAGAAAAGATTAGTGCTCCAAAATTTATTACAAACCAAATTTTTTCTCACTGAGACATTTAAAAGTTCTGTAGTCACATCTCTACCCCCATTAGAGAATTCAATTCCTATTTTTACTGTCCATAGCTCTTGGTTTCAGTGGTTTGAGATACGCCGTCTTTATAGTTCTGCCGAAGGTGGCTTGTGACGCGGTCTTCTGTGAAGTGTAACCAAACAGTCCTTTCTCGCAATCTTCTATTTTGGTATCTCCGTGAGAACAAATGTGGGAGGTCGAGAGGCTCTGGCTGGGTGAGGCAGGGCGGGGTGGTGGGTGGAATGGGGCGGGGGGTTGGCGAGCCAGCGCCCGGGAAACAGGCTCCACTCATCCCTGTCTCGCGGTTTAGGTGAAACTGGGCTACGCTCGCTGCAGGCACAGAGCCATGAGCAAGAGGGTGTTGCAGGCGAG